CCCCAGCCAGGGTCAACCCACCACATTCACTAAGCAACAGGACCCATCAGTGAAAAGAGCATACTGCTTCTCATTCTCTGGCAATTTATTATCTAGCAGGGCTTCTTCAGCGCATGTCACCTCCTCCTCTGGTGACAGTCTCAAATCTTTGCCTTCTGGCCAGTTTGTGATCACTTCCAGAACTCCTGGGCAGTTGGGGTTTGTTTGTTTGGGCTTGCTGTGTGATGAGCGCAACCGACTTTACGTAGCATAAGTTGCATGATGTGTGGAGGGGCACTTCTCGTGGATAGGGACACAAAGTGTGGCAAAAGGTGCCAGCCCCAAAAGGGTTACCTGGCCCTGTTTGGACCCATTCCTTGGCTAGGCAAGGCTGCAGCCCCAATGTGAGTGGTGCTGTGCGTGGGGGGCAGAGGGAGGTTTCAGGCCACATAAGCCTTTTGGAGCTGCCACCATCCACATGGGAGAAGGGGCTGGATGATTTCATTTTGCAGGCTGGACACTGATTTTGGTCGAGAGGGACGTAAGGTGGTATGTGGAGGCCTTGCGCGGCTAGGCGAGTCTGCAGGCCCAGTGTGAGTGGTGCTGTGCGTGGGGGTCAGAGGGAGGTTTGAGGGCAGGGAAGGCTTTTGGGGCTGGCCCCTTTTGCCTGGGAGCAGGAGCTGGACGTTTAAAGTTTGGAGGCTGGATGCTGGTGAAGGTCGAAATGGATGTATGTTGCTGTTTGAACCCCTCTTGTGTCTAGGCGAGCCCGCATTCCCTGTTGTAGTGTTGATGTTTAACGATGACTCAGAAACTTTTCTGTCTTGAAATATCTTCTCCATGCCTGATATTTCTGTTGTGTATAAACGAGCAACTCTTCACAGCTCTGTGCTAGGGCAGGGCATCCCAGGTGGGTCAGATGAGGATGGGGCTGGGCTTAGTTTTGAAAAGGGCTGTAGGTGGCAGAAGGGTAAAGCAGCTCTTTGTGGAGACATTGGGGTTGAGGATTTCTCTAGCCCTGCTATTGCAAGGGTATAGCTGGGGAGAGGATTGCCTGTGCCTTCCTGCCTTTGGGAGCTGAAGTTCCTTTGCTTCGCTTCTTTAGGAGAGAAACAAAAGGGCTTCTACAGGTATCTGCCTCTGACAAGGAATAGCAGGTCCCTGTGGCAAGGTAGGATCCATCCCAGCACTCAATGACTGCGTGCACCATCAGCATACAGTGCCAGGATTTCAGTGATTCTGTCAGCCGGCCATGTGTGTGAGCTGCTGAGTGTCCGGGAAGCCTGATAGGAGAGGAGCGTCGAGGAAGCTGCCACCTGCTCCTGGGTGGGCAACAGTCAGGCAGACTGCACTGTGGAGGAGCGAGGGGTGGATGCAGAGAGACGACTTGCGTGGTGAAGGTCTCCTGTGGGTGCCAGGAGGTGTGGCGAGTCATGCGTACAGGCCCATCCCTGCCGTACTTCTCCAGACCTCTGTCTGACCCCTTACTGTCTCTACCTCCATCTCCCATTCGGAATGTCTTGATCAATGAAGATTTTTGCTCTTCAGCCGCCAGCCTCCAAACTTGAAACGTCCAGCCCCTGCTCCCAGGCAAAAGGGGCCAGCCCCAAAAGCCTTCCCTGCCCTCAAACCTCCCTCTGACCCACACGCACAGCACCACTCACATTAGACCTGCGGGCTCTCCTTAATAGATTGCAGTTCCCCATGTCTATTTCTGCCCCCAACAATCCTTTCCAGTCTTTAATATCAGGAGCGGGAATCCACTAGGCACCCCCAGGTAGCAGGACCTTGCAAGAGCCATTGGGTGCAGAGCAGAGGGACGTACCAAAGACTTAGAGAGTTTGCTTGATAGACTGAGACCTAGAAATGCATTTTTCAGCACTGATATAATATGAATTAAGTAATAGCAGCTTTGGTACCAGAAGTCATGGGGCCTAGAAAAGTGGAAGGCAGCAGGATACAGGGCAGCATTTCCAGAAGAGCAAAAATCTTCAGGGATCTGGACAGCCTGAAAGGTGGGTGGAGGCAGGGAGAGGAAGGAGGCATGCAGAGATCTGGAGAAGCATGGCAGGGATGGGCCCGGACACACAACTCACCGCACCTCCTGCCACCACAGGAGACCTTCAGCACCCAAGCCCTCTCTCTGCCTCTGCTCCTTGCTTCTCCACAGTGCCGGCTGCCTGACCCTCACCCACCCAGGAGCAGGTTGCGGGTGCCTCAACGCTCCTCTCCCATCAGGTATCCGGGACACACGGCAGCTCACACACGCGGCCAATGGAGGCACCGAACTTCTGGTGCTGTGTGCTGATGGTGCATGTGGTCAATGAGTGCTGGGACGGATCCTACCTTGCCACAGGGTCCGGCTGTTCCTTGTCAGAGGCAGCTGCCTGTTGCGGCCCCTTCGAGTCTCTCCTAGGCAAGCTCCCAAAGCCAGGCGAGCACAGGCAACCCCCTTGCAAGCTAAAACCCTTGGCACATAAGGGCCAGCCCCATCCTCCCTCCCAGTGGCTACACAAAGAGCTGCCCTGCCCCTTCACCACCTGCAGCCCTTTTAAAAACTAGGACCAGCCCCCTTCCTAATAGGCCACACCTGGGATGCCCAGTCCCAGCACACACCTGTGAAGATTTGTGGGTTAGCGAGGTTTCCATCCAGGCACCCCTTTTGGGGCTGGCACCTTTCACCTGGGAGCAGGCATTGGGGATGAGGACCATCCCTGAGCCACACGTCTTGGAGCCGTGTCACCCCTCCCCCACCAGCCCCCCTTTTGTACTGAGCATGATGTCACATGGTGTGCAATACCCCCTTTGGCTAGTTTGGGTCAGCTGTCCTTTCTGTGTCCCCTCCCAACTCCTTGTGCACCCCCAGCCATCCCGCTGGCAAGGCGGCACAAGAAGTAGAGAATGCCTTGGCTCTGTGTAAGCACTGCGCAACAGCAACAGGTCCATATAACAAAAACATCTCTGTGTTATTAACACTGTTTCCAGCACAAATCCAAAACATAGCCCCATAGCAGCTACCATGAAGAAAATTAACCCTCTCAGGTGAAACCAGGACACTCCTTCACTTCTGACTCCCTCAAGATGTCACCCATCCAGGTCACACCATCCCATGGGTGGCTGGCAAGAACAGGCAGCAGCCCCCACCCTCCCTGGGGACATCACAGCCAGCACCCCATGGGCCACCAAACTCCCCATCAGAGTCACCCCACCGTCCTGTTGACCCTTTGATGACTCAGGCCTCAGGAGTCTTTGTGTAAGATGGCTCTGGAAAGTGATACCTCTTGGGTTTTATGGAGGGTAGAGCCCAGATTTCCCCTCTCTTAGGCTGGTTTGCTGGAGCTGGCAGGAGCAGCAGCGTCTCAGGGCTGCAGTGGCCCTGAGACACGTCCCCATCCCTCCCTCCAGGCTCAGTGACCATCTCCATCACTCACAAGACACATTGTCCCACCCCAATGAACCCGTGTCCCACCACCTGGAGCTGGATCCTCCCATGGGGGACAACTGTGGAAGGGCTCCTGTGCCCAGCAAGGCTGTTGGGGGGAAACGTGGCTCCCTCCATCATCCTCCCGGGAGCCCCCCCTGCAGCCAACCCCAGCCCAGACGAGAATGCAGAACAGGCACCTAAAAGTGTGGCGGTTAAGTTTAAAGAAATTTTAATATTAAAGAAATTTTAAGATTTTTATATTAGTACTTGCCCTGGTGAACGCTCCGTTGCAGATAAAGACAAAGGTGTCACCTTAGCCCTACCACCTCGAGTTGCTCTGGTGCTCTGGACCTGGAGATGTGGCAGCACCCAGCTGCACCTGTGCTAGCGTCACCAGTTCTGGGCTAAGCACCTCGTGCACTGGCCTGCACAACTCATCGGTGCCAGAAAGAGCATCGCTGACAGCAAGTGATGGCTGAGGACTCCCCCCGTGAAGTCCACGGGGAGCCCCAGCAAAGGCCCAGATTAGGTCTCCCTGCAGACCTTAGGGTCAGGGAGAAGAGGACTTCCAAGCAGTTAACTATGAATTTAACAATTTAGATTGTTGGGGTTCTTGAAACACCCTTGCAACAGACTTCATCCCTTTTTTGCTCAAATTCAGAGAACGTGACCTCTGATTAAAGCAAAGCAGAAGAGGTGAGGAGGGAAGCTGAGGCACAGAACTACCCCGAAGGCAGCAGCAGAGCAGCCAGAGGCTGGGCTGGGGGAAGTAGGTGGCTGTGGATGAGACCGGGTGGGTGCTGGTGTGACAGACACTGGTTGTGATGGTTCCCTTGAGCAACTGCATCTTTCTGCATCCCGCCGGTTTGGGGGCCTCATCCAGGCGCTGGTCCCATGGCGGGGCAGAGAGGGGGTGGGGTGAGACAAGGAGAAATGTAAACCGCAGAGCATCCTTAAGCCAGAGCGAGGAGGAGGAGGAGGTGTCCCAGGACCAGCAGTGTGCTGGTGGTGGTGCAGGATGCAGCAGCGTAGGACTCACCTGGAGGCAGAGGGAGACCCAGGGTTGTGAGGAGGTCTGGGGGCTGCCTGGCCCTGCTGGGAGACCACCCCCCAATCCCCTCCCCAGGTGGGCTTCTGCCTCCCACCAGCCCACAGTGCAGGGGGAAAAGGAACCCATCACTCCTGACCCATGGGCCACCTCAGGCCTTGCAGGGACCTGCAGTCCTCAGGGTCATGGCCGCTGGTCCGGCAACCCTTCAAAGCCAAGGCCACCTTGCACCCATCCCACGCCAGTTTCCCCATCTCGTGCGTGCACCGCGGGTGGTACCTGTCCAGGAACAGGGGTGCCTGTAGATCAGCGAGGCGTTGTTGGAGGAGACAGGGTTGCTGACTTTGCAGATGTAGGTTTCCTCCAAGAAGTTGAAGGAAACCTGCTGCTCAGAGGCACCCGCACCCTTCAGCGGGAGCTTTCTGGGGAAGATCCACTCGTAGGTCACCCCTTCGAGCCCCACTGAGCACTCCAGGGTGGCTTTGCACTGCAACGACTCATCCCTGATCACTTTGGCCTTCACAGTTGGCTTTGGGACTGGATCTGCAAGAGACAGCGGGATGCAACAGCGTCCCTGTCCTCCCGCAGGGCACTGGGACAACCCTCCCATCCTCCTAGCTCACCATACACCCTCAGGAGGATGGTTTCAATGTGCTCTTTGCCTCCCTCATCCCCTCGGTACACTTGGTATGAGCTGCTGTCGTTTTTCTGCAGGTAGCTGATTTTTAGGGTGCTGTTGAGGATGAGCTCCAGTCGTCCCTTGTAGTTGCTGTTGGGGTACAGGACCGTCGCTCCCTTGTCCCAGCTGGCGATCGTCACAGAATTGTTGCGCCGCCATTGTATATGGTTGTAGGAAGCTGGGTTTTGCAGGCTGGGACTGAGATACGCCACCCCACCAACGACCCCAACCACCTTCGATGATGGACCTTGTTGTGCTGCGGCTGCCAAGAAAGCAGAGACTGGTGCTGTTTGGTCGACTGGACACAGCCCACCCCTTACAGGCACTTGTCCCCACCCAGGGACCTTGATTCCTCCCAAACACTTGGAAAATGCAAATAACCCATTTACTCACTAATCCCTAATGCCTTTGTGCCCTCTTGGCCTTGGGGGAATGTTGCAGGGACAACCAACAAGTGGTGGGATTTCCACTTCCTCACCCTGAGCACGGAACCGCCCAGATCCCCCAGTGAAGTTTTTTTCACATTTGCTTTCACTTTTGGAGTCCTCTCCCCCCTCCAGGCTCACCCAGAGCAGCCCCTGTATCCCCACCTTGGTGGTGGCGATACGGGGGGGCTCCCGTGGGAAGGGAGCCAGTGGGTCACACCTCGGGCGCAGCTCTGGGATGGGAAAACCACATGGGGAGAGAGCGGGGACAGGAAGGGTTTACCCATGGGCACATCCCTGAGATCCCCCACCATCCCCAAAGCCATCTCCCCCCTGACCCAGCACCCTCGCCCTGGGGAAACACGCCGCCATACCTTGCATGACAAAGGGGAAGAAGAGGAACATCGCTGTAAGCCCCACCACCATCTTCTCTCTGCGTCCGCATCCAAACCCCGGGGTGGAAATCGCCCTCGCCAGGCAGCTGCTCACCAAGGACCCCCCTTAGCCTGCAGCCTCCTGCCACTGTCCCCAAACTTGGAGCTGGGGGGGGCCTGCAGGACAGGGTCTGGCAAGTCACTAGGTAGCTGCGTCCCTCTTTCACTTCCGCCTCTCTCAAGAGCAAGGCACCCCCGCAGTGGCAGGAAACTCGTAATGCATGGTTTACGCCATCCTGAGCCCCATCCTCTGCAGCAGCCCCCACCCTCCCTTGGAACACCATGCGCAGCACCCCATGGGCCCCTGAACCTCCCATCAGAGTCACCCCACCACCTTGATGATAAAGGAAACGCAGTCCCCAGGGGTCGCATTTCCCCTTTAGAGCTGCTGTAACCAACCCACAGGGTCCCACTTCCCCACCTGCAAATCCAGGTCTGTGTCCTCGCTGAGGTCTGGCACCCGGACATGCCATCAAACAGCCCCAGCTCAAGCGGGGACCACCGGCACTGACCTTCAGGATGTCCCCGTGACCCTGGTTCACAAGTGACCAGTGCAAGTGGGAAGGAGATGGGAGTAATGACTCGCTGATGCTAAACCACGTGCTGCAGCCCCAAAGCGCTGGCCTCCTCCTAGGGCAGATGCTTAAAATGAAGGATTTTAATTACAGCCTGGATTTCTTCCTGAAAGATGGCATTTCAGGGGCCTTTGTTCAGCACCAGCCGAGGGATGCCTGGGGCAGCAGCCACTGGCATCTTCCCACGGGCCACCCCGGCCGTGAGCGAGGAGCACCGGGGCCGACCCCGGCTGTGAACAAAGGGCGACGGCGGCACCCGCTGAGCCCTGATCCAGTTTAATTTCAGCCCCCATCCACCGGGGAGGAGATTCGATGTCAGCGCAGAGAGACGTTATTACAAACACACCAGCAGCCACGCAATGATGCTGTGGCCGGATCACTGGCACCGATCCGGTGGCACCGTGGTGCGGAGCACCCGCCAGCCTGTCCCTGCACCCGATTACACCGCATTGATAGAAACCGGCAGAGATGGGAAAGCAAACTTCCCTGGCAGGGAGCAAAGTGCTGCCTCAGCGCTTGCAGCAAGCACTGCAAATTATCTCCAATATGCAAAAGCAGGTCATTAGCATAAATTACAGCACTGTGATGGAGCATGGCTTCGGCAGGAGCCCGACGTGCTGATGGGGGTGGAAGGGC